ATTGCTAATGAGGTTTTCTCTGTTCGACAGAACTAAATCGAGTATATTATTACCCCAGGTGGGTTCGGTTATACAGCAACATGCAAGTATTATACATCATCATTCCAGTATTATACAACATCATGCCAGTATTATACAGTATCATGCCAGTATTATACAGCAACATGCCAGTATTATACAACATCATGCCAGTATTATACAACATCATGCCAGTATTATACAACATCATGCCAGTATTATACAGCAACATGCAAGTATTATACAACATCATGCCAGTATTATACAGCAACATGCAAGTATTATACAACATCATGCCAGTATTATACAGCATCATGCCAGTATTATGCAGTATCATGCCAGTATTATACAGCAACATGCAAGTATTATACAACATCATACCAGTATTATACAGCAACATGCAAGTATTATACATCATCATTCCAGTATTATACAACATCATGCCAGTATTATACAGTATCATGCCAGTATTATACAGCAACATGCCAGTATTATACAACATCATGCCAGTATTATACAACATCATGCCAGTATTATACAACATCATGCCAGTATTATACAGCAACATGCCAGTATTATACAGCAACATGCAAGTATTATACAACATCATGCCAGTATTATACAGCATCATGCCAGTATTATGCAATATCATGCCAGTATTATACAGCAACATGCAAGTATTATACAACATCATACCAGTATTATACAGCAACATGCAAGTATTATACATCATCATTCCAGTATTATACAGCAACATGCATGTATTATACAGCAGTATTATACAGTATTATACATGCCAGTATTATACAGCAAGTATTATACATGCCAGTATTATACAACATCATGCCAGTATTATACAACATCATGCCAGTATTATACAACATCATGCCAGTATTATACAGCAACATGCCAGTATTATACAGCAACATGCAAGTATTATACAACATCATGCCAGTATTATACAGCATCATGCCAGTATTATGCAATATCATGCCAGTATTATACAGCGCCAGTATTATACAACATCATACCAGTATTATACAGCATCATGCAAGTATTATACATCATCATGCAGTATTATACAACATCATGCCAGTATTATACAACATCATGCCAGTATTATACAGTATCATGCCAGTATTATACAGCAACATGCAAGTATTATACAACATCATGCCAGTATTATACAGCATCATGCCAGTATTATACATCAACATGCAAGTATTATACAGCATTATGCCAGTATTATACAACATCATGCCAGTATTATACAGCATCATGCCAGTATTATACAGCATCATGCCAGTATTATACAACATCATGCCAGTATTATACAGCATCATGCCAGTATTATACAGCATCATGCCAGTATTATACAGCATCATGCCAGTATTATACAACATCATGCCAGTATTATACAGCATCATGCCAGTATAGGTTAAGTTAGGTGAAGATTCAAAACAAAATAAATCCTCTTTAAAATCAGAGAGGTTCGATCAAGGACACCTGAGTTGATTAAGTATTTACCTGTACCATTTGATGCAATAGACCGGGAGGGTGGTGTGTGTGTGAAGCGCGCGCTTTAACGGTGACAGAGTCGCTAAATTAACCGGAGGTAACTTTTCATTTCCTAATTTAACCCATTCTGACGTTAACCTTACCTATTCTCAAATAATCAAACCTAACAAGTTACCAAACATCACCATTAACTCGTACAGGCTGGGTAGCTTTAAATATAGGTTGGACAAATATATGAGTGAAAGGGGTTGGGTTTTATGTATAGCAAGATGGTGCCACAAAGTTTCAAAACTTGTGTGGAAAGCGATCAATGCTACATGATCTCTTGAGGATAAGAATGTACAAAGTTTCGTCTACACCCTCACCGATGTCTTGATGTAGCTCTAGTGTTTTATAACAAGACTCCATTATTTTCGTTTAAACACCAGTACAGAAGCAACGTTATGTGGTGTCAGTGTGTGTGTGTGTGTGTGTGTGTGTGTCGGATCATGTGTATGCGTCAGCGATATGGGTCAAGGACTAGTCAAGGTTACATAGCCAATGCATATTTGAAGTGACCTCACCTAACCAAAGTTAATACCAACACAACCTTAAAACCACTGACATTAATCTAAACTAACCCTAACCTAACGCTACAGTCACTCAAAAAACTATGTATACAAAATTGTGTTGAAAAAATATGACAAAACGACGTAGGATTTGGGCAAACCTACAGAGACAACACGGGTCGTAGTGTTCATTCTGAAAATCATCGATCATCTATGTAGAGATAGTTTTTTATGATTGAACAACAGGTGAATAAAGATAGAGGTACACAAACCTTAATGCCAAAACGACAATAATTCACGCGGGGGAAATGGGGGCAGAGGCTGTGGAAAGAGGAGGTAGCAGCGGGGGAAGAGGAGGTAGCAGGGGAAATGGGGGCAGAGGCTGTGGCAAGAGGAGGCAACAGCTGGGGAAAATTTGGCGGCACCGAGGAAAAGAGGAGGTATCAGCGGGGGAAAGAGGAGGCAGCACTGAGGAAAAGAGGAGGCAGCAGAGGAAAGAGGAGGCAGCAGCGGGGAAAGAGGAGGTAGCAGCAGCGGGGAAAGAGGAGGTAGCAGCGGGGAAAGAGGAGGTAGCAGTGGGGGAAGAGGAGGTAGCAGGGGGAAATGGGGGCAGCGGTGGGGGGAAAGAGGAGGTAGTATTGGGGGAAGAGAGCGTAGCAGGGGAGAAGTGGAGGAAGCTTGCAGTACAGTTTTCCTATTCTGAGTCATTCAGTCAGGTCTTGACACTGAGGGTGGTATCACTTCTCACTGCCATGCAGGACAGAGGTTCATACACAAAGAAATACAACATATTCATTAACAGCTATATATATAGAGGTCAGATTCATGTGGGTAATGTCACTCTTCACTGCCATGCAGGACAAAGGGAGGAAGGAGGTAGCAGTGTGGAAAAAGCAGCAGAACGAAAGATAATTAAGTTTGGGGGAAGAAAACGTGGTGCTAAGAGAAAGAAAGAGAGGGTCGAGTCGTGAGGGAGGGGTTTTCTTGGTGGGGAGGGGGGAAGAGGGCGTGGGGGGGAGGGGTGCTGATTACGACAGGTCCAGGTGTTTGTACCATGATTCATACAGTGCTTTTTTTTTATTCCCATCATTTGACTGGACATTACTCTTTATAATGATGAGTAATAGAATAAGCTTTAATGTAGAGTTGTATTTGTGGAATGGCTGAGAGAAAGAGAGAAGCAACAGAGTGGGAGAGTCTGACTGGTAAGTGTTGGGCGCGAGTGAAGAGGAGGGAGGGAGGAGAGGGGGGGGAAGGATGTGGGTCGGTGTTGCCAACAGGCGTTCACCATGTTTCCCATATTTTTTTAGGCTCACTTGAGTCACTAGTTGATGTGTTTGTTTGTTTCTTGTTTCAATCTAAAAGTGTTAGTTGATTGGCGGGTTTGGAGTGTCGGAGACTGATACACATATGGTTTCAGGATATGTAAGATACAGTGGAGTCGGCAGGATATAACTTAAACCGAGATTCATTACTCAGATTTCATTACCATGTAGCAAGGTACTGTACATTACTTACATTATCAAAGTCCTTGGTATTATGGGTTATTTAGATTAAAACCTCCTGTTAGAATGATATCTTGGTTATTTAATCACACTTGCTCTGGTCACTATAAGAGTTGTCTCTCTGATGTTGATGCTAATGCATTTATGAAAATTAAAAGAAAAGCAAAAGATTGAAATTTTTGGTTTAGCAAGATATTAATAAGAGACGCATTATTCCACCGAATACATTTATATATTAACCATTGCAGTGAATTCTCCCTTAATGAATATACCACGCTCGTCTCGCTTCCAACAGCACTATTAATCTTAAAGAGCAGGTAGGGAGGCTTTGTGTAACCCTGCTAACGGTCTCCCAGTTCTCTCCCCTCTCCCTGGTGCTTCTGCGCCTGCGCGAACCTGGCGGAAGGGAAGGAAGCCACAACTGTTATGTTTATTGCCATTAGTACCATGAATTAATCTAACAATCCACAGTCAGGCCAAGTAATTGAATATGGCTTGGAGAAGATAAGAAAATGTGTGGATTATGAGGCGGGGCTTTGTGTTGATGCGCAATACTATATATAAAGAGCATCTGAACACCGTATAAAATACTAAAGCTGTTTAAATATCCAATTCTCTTAATTTTTAATTGTTCATAAAAAGGTATTGACTAATCTAGATACGTGCTTAAAGACCTTTGTAGCTAAAGAGCAGTATTATGTTGTAACATCAATATCAAGTTTTTAAAGCTCTTAGACAGAATTATGAAATGACAAGAATCACTGTAAAAACAGTGCAGTGCTTTTATGGGCACTTCTACTGATGCCTTTGTAGTAAATGTAAAGGGCGCAGTATGCCTTGTGATGAAGGGAAGTGGCACAGTATGCCTTGTAATAAACATAAAGGGTGCAGTATGCCCTGTAATGAACATAAAGGGTGCAGTATGCCCTCTAGTGAAGGTAAAGGGAGTAGTATGCCTTGTAGTGAAGGTAAAGGGAGTAGTATGCCTTGTAGTGAAGGTAAAGGGCGCAGTATGCCTTGTGGGCATAGAAAGCTCATTATGCCTTGTAGTGAACGTAAAATGCGCAGTATGCCTTGTGATAAAGGGAAATATGGCATAGTATGCCATGTGGTTTTAAGAAATGCAGTATGCTACGTGGTTTTAGGAAATGACGCAGTATGCCCAGTACGGTGTATCACAGGAACATAACTATTACTGTAGCATATACAAGCTGGATGAGAAAGAGAAGGACTTACTTTCTAAACTGCGCAGATGAGGTCGATTATATATATATGTATGAAGGCATGGCCATGAGGCAACGGAAAACCCGCCTGCTTCATCTGGCGGGATCTCGTAACCAATGAGCACGCCAGGCATTGCCTGAAGCCTTTGTATCTCTGCACTGATTGGTCGGAGCACGGCGCAGCCTTCTGGGTGCGGCGTGGTGGATGACGCCGGTATATAAGCCCCTCGCCCGCCGGCCCGCGCTTAGTAACTGGGTGGTGCCTGTACTGAACGTGTGTTGCATTGCGGCATATAATAATTATTTTTTTTATGATCTGAAGACTGAATATGACCAAGCAATATATGCCATTGTGCCTATAGACGATTCCAAGAACAAATCACAGAGTAACTTAAAGGTAAGCTTCCAAGAGATACATTATAATTGAATATTTTTAATTATAAGCGGTCAAATGTACATCGATCATTCTACAATGGTCACGAAGCTGAGGACATCGCAGATTGGCTTTACCATAAAATTAAAGAAACCCAAACAATTGTTTTGCACTTCATTACTGGTGGACGGGAATAAAGTCCACAGGACTTTTTCTTGTGACTTTTTTTCCTGGATTCTCATCACTGTTGACAAGACCTTCAAGTGTTCCCGATGGCCAACAGTATTATTTATGTATACTCAACACTAATGAAAAGCATTTTGCATCATATCAAAGCAATAATATATTTTTATATGTATGTGGAATGACAACCGGAAGTTTGTACAGTTGCATACAAAAAATTCAGGACACTTGGCAGTATCTGGCAAGTAATACCCTTTGAGTTGCCGGTAATGATATAATAGTCTATTGTATTAGACAAAGAAAAACATGACATGATATTTATGTGCAAAAAAGATTATTTGAGTTGTACATTATCCTAAACGAATAGGAATGAGGAATAATATCCACGGAGATGACATGTAATTGTATAGCCGACTCGCCACCTTGTAGAACTCGAGCAGGTGAAGCGAAGCTGAGGGGCACTATACAGTGGAAGACAATTGTAGATTTTTTTTGTATTTAATGATAATTCAGACAAAGAAGACGATTTTCTTCTGTGACACCTTTAGCGCCTTTTACCCAAAACCGAGATATCGTCAGTTGAAAATTAGAAAAAATTGTATCCCTTGGCGTGAAATGGCGAGATGTTGGGGGGTTTCAATGATAATATCTGTAATGTTCGAGAACAAGCATTTACCAATAGATGGATTTGTTCGATTTCGTTATTTTGTCCATATTTTATCAGTTTAATAGTTTAAAAGGCGACATTTACTAGAACCTGAGCATACTAGCCGAAGAAAACAACCATACGTTACCCGTCCTCCCAGTTATGCCACCATGGGCCCCTGCCATATTAAACAGAAAATACTTTGATATCTGGTACCGATGAAAGAAACTTTGTTGATGCGTAGTAGACAACACGCAATGATTTCTCGGAGTATTTACTGCAAGTATTTAATTTCATTACGTACAAAGCACATACACATCATTTTAGTGTCATATGATCAAATTTCTAGGTGATTAGATAGACAAAAAGAATAAACAAATATTTTATAAGTAAAATAATAGCTGTCGCCTCTTTTTAAATACTTACTGTAATGATAAGAATATCTGGAAAAATGAACAAGACCGAAAAACTTTTGGTGGTTGTGGCAGTTCTCCGAATTTACCAAGATTGCAGGAAAAAAAAACTATGACACTTTTCATGCTTTTACCCATAACCGAGATATCGTGAGTTGAGAAAATCGGAAAGCTACTAGAAAAGGTATTGCATTTACTGTCACCAACCGAATATTAGGAATTTTATCTTTGCAATTAATAGCCTCGACAATTCTAAGACTTCTATAACGTTTCCCTAGCAAACAGGTAGACCCCCCCTCCCCCAGGTAGTTAGGTAGGTTATGTAGGTTTAGTTAGAACATAAGAATGGAGGAAACTGCAGCGGGCCTATTGGCCCATACTGGGCAGTCCCGTTTACACCCAACCCCTATTGCTCATATGAGCATCCAACCTATGTTTGAAGCAATTCAGCGTGTTCGAGTTAATGATGATATTTGGTAACTTGTTCCATTCATCCACTACTCTGTTTCCAAACCAGTGTTTACCTATTTCACGCCTAAATCTAAATTTGTCTAATTTAAAACCATTGTTACGAGTTCGCTCCTGGTTGGATAGTTTGAGTACCTTTGTAATGTCCCCTTTGTTTAGCCCTGACTTCCACTTATACACCTCTATCAGGTCGCCCCTCGCTCTACGTCTCTCGAGGGAGTGCAAATTAAGATGCTTTAACCTGTCTCTATACTCAAGGTTCCTAATGCCCGGGATTAGTCTTGTCATTCTCCTCTGAATTCTTTCCAAGGATTCTATATCCATTCTGTAATACGGTGACCAGAACTGAACTGGGTAATCCAGGTGTGGTCTCACAAGAGCAAGATACAGTTTTAGGATGACCTCGCTAGTCTTGTAACTAACACTCCTTTGTATGAACCCAAGTACTTTATTAGCCTTGTTACGAGCAAAAACACATTGTTTACCTGGCTTAAGGTTCCTACTTATCATTACTCCTAAATCTCTCTCGCAGTCGGATTTCTCTATGGCATCGTTGTTCATCTGGTATCTGGTTTCCCTGTTTACATCTCCTATACTGAGTACTTTACATTTGTCGACGTTGAATTTCATCTGCCATTTTTCAGACCATTCGAAAAATTTGTTAGATCTTCCTGTAGTTTTGCCGAGTCCTCGTCAGATTTAATAACACGTCCTATTTTAGTGTCATCAGCAAATTTACTTATGTTGCTGTCTATGCCGATATCTATGTCGTTTATGTATATAATAAATAATAATGGTCCAAGTACTGAGCCTTGGGGAACTCCACTTGTGACGTTGCTCCAATGGGACTTAGTGCCGTTAATGCTCACTCGCTGTTTCCTGTCCTGTAACCACGCCCTAATCCATTTAAGGATGTCACCTTTGATGCCATGAGCTTCTACCTTTCTAATTAGTCTTTCGTGGGGACTCTGTCGAAGGCTTTGCTAAAGTCGAGATATACCACATCATAATTGTGCCCTCTCGTCCACCGATTCGAAAACTGATGAAAAGAATGTTAATAGATTAGTTAGGCAAGAACGTCCTTGTGAAGCCATGCTGGGAATCATTGATCAATCGGTGCTTCTTCAGGTGATTTCGAATAGAGTTTGAAATGATTGCTTCCAGTAATTTGCCTACTATTGATGTTAGACTGATTGGGCGGTAGTTAGAGGATAGTGATCTATCCCCCTTCTTGAAAATCGGTATTACATTCGCTATCCTCCAGGATTCTGGTACTACACCTGTTTTTAAGGACATGTTAAACAACTTTGCTAAGGGCATACTAAGCTCTTCCTTACATTCCTTTAATACTCTGGCAAATATCTCATCGGGACCAGGTGACTTATTAGGCTTTAATTTGTCTATTTGCTTACTAACATCGCTACTAGTCACTACTATCTCACTTAATTTGTTTTCTTCACTATCTCTGAATAGAGTCGGTGCCTCGGGTATCATGTTTAAATTTTCGGTGGTGAAAACTGTTGAAAACTATTTATTCAAATTATTGCTCATTTCTCCATCGTTATCAGTGAGCTCGCCGGAGTCTGACCGTATTGGTCCAATCTTTTCTCGTGTTTTAGTTTGATACATTTTGTAGAATCCTTTGGGGTTTGTCTTCGCCTCCCTTGCTATCCTTACCTCATTATTCCTCTTTGCTTTCCTTATCTCGGTTTTAACCCTACTCGCCAATACCCTATAATAGTCTCGGAGGTGAATTTCGCCACGATTTATCCTTCTACCTATAGCCTTCCTTTGGCCAATGATGTTCTAGTTGAGTTGGAAAACATAATTAATAATGCGTGGTTGATAATATAATAATTTTTTGGGGGTAAATTTTTACTTTAGGACACGAGTCCCTAGGAGTTGACCAATATGTTTTTCCAGTATATTTTGGTGTGTTTTAAATGACTTTGACCCTCATTTTTGGCGGAAATAACAGTTTTTGCTCTTCCTCCCAGCAATAATGGGGGAGAGCCTGGGAAATTAGAGTCCTTGGGTGGGCGAGAAAACGAGTCATCTGACCTAACAAAACCTAACCTAACTCCTAGCCGGGGGCAGCCTAGCTTAAGCTAACCTAAATGTTTCGGTAGTTAAAAACTTTGGGATGCGCCATGTCCAAAAGTACAATACCTTAGTTAGAAGTGGAAGGACCAGGGATACGTATGAATTGAATAGAATAATCGTCTTTCTCGTAAAACTCGGCAATAAACTTAAAATAATCGTAGGAGCACAAACGACAACCCTCAACCTCGGCCATTATGAAACTGGTCAATGAAATTAAAATCATACCCAGGCTGCTTCCTTTGAAAAAAATACAATGTGATTGGTCGAAAAAAATCGCGAGATGATATTGATACCTCATTGGTCACGACTGGATGACGTCAGCCAACATTGCGCACGCGCAGATAGCATCTCACAGGCGAAGACTGAAAATTACTTAAAATCAATTAAATTCAATTGTGTTTCTATTATCCATTTCCACCATGCATATATGGGGTTCAAAATGCTCAGAATGGCGAGATCTAAATGTTTCAGTTGTTTTATAACTTTCGGGGGCGCTATGTCCGAAAGTAAAATAATACTTTTTTTACCGCGTACAAACAATGGACCAGCAAATTAACCAGAAACAGCCTGTCAGACTATTTTGCCGTGACCGGTAATTTAGCCACTGCCCTTTTCCTGAAAGTCTTTTCATATTGTGGTTTCAACATGATACGTGATGAAAAAAAACAGTGATATTAGATATAAACAAATCATATATATGACCCAGAAGTAGATTCCAAATGTTGCCCAAGTGTTCAGGGATTTTTGCCTGCAACTTAGTAAAATTTCACTTGTTGCCACCCAAAAGTATTTTCAGAATTTTATGGTTGCGATCAATAGTTTAGACAATTTGTACACACTTCTATGACGTTTCTCGCAAACGACCTAACCGGCCTGCCCCCCTACCGACTGGCATATATAAGTCATTTGTGAGGGAAATGTCACAGAAAAGTGTCTTAGAATTGCCTAAACTATTGATTGGAACCATAAATTTCTTTGGGTGGCAACAAGTAAAATATTATACCGGTAACTGTACATCGACGACTTGAATGGCTGGTGAATGAATCATCTCAATACAGTATAATGTATGCCGAATATCCTATGAACTTACTGTACAGGATATTGTTCTATTAAAGTGTGTATCTATTTCGGAAAGTGCCTTTGAAAAGCACTGTCAATGCAGTGTCAAATTTGGGATTTTGTTCAAGCTATAATGATGCATTGCTTGAGTCATCATCGGTTAAATCTTGGAAACCTGCTTTGGACAAAGATTCTTCCCGTCAATATGTATTTGACAATGCAGGATCGGAAGGTAAAACAGCTCGAGGGCTATTGAGCCGGGTCACCAGGTAAAGTAACCAACAGTTGTATACAGCAGGGTTTATTGTGTGCTGTGTTTTGTGTTGCTGTGTTTTGTGTTACTGTGTTTAAGAAATGAATTGCTTGCATCTTTAAGCTAAGTCTTGCATCTCTTATTGATACCATTACTTGAGTATGATTATGTGGTGAGGGATAAATTATGTTGATTTTGTCTTCAATCAATGAGTGAATCTGCTATGGGTTGCATTTCCGATTACCAATATTGTTTGTTTTAATGAGGAATGAATTTGTTTTGCAGTGTATCACTTACGGACATGAGTGTTAATGAAACCGACGTACAGCTCTGTGAAAATAGAATTGTATGTCTGTAGATAGGTTTTTTTTGTGTTATGATAAATTTTGGTAATTATTGATGACATACCAGTCGCCAAATTTTCATAGAAAATGAATTTAAAATACAGTACAGCAATTTCACTGTGTTGTTTAGTAGACACAGTTGTAGTTTGGGTAAATGTGTTACTTTTTTTAAAATTAAACCTAATCTAACCATAGTTAAGAAACACAAGCAGCCAAAGCACTGTTAGAAGACTGCACCAACCTTACCAAAGAAACCTACTTAAGCTTCCCTAACTTCTTAGCTGTGGGGAGGGGAGGGGCTCTGCTCCCTGGACCCCCAGCATAATAAACCGAAAAAAAACTTAATATGATAAGGTGTAATTTTACATTTGTGTGGATATGAGAAACCTCCCAGACAGAGCAGCTCGTCAACAAAGGCTGAGCAAAAATAAAATTGGCCATGGATTGGGCTGCCATACCGTTTTATCATTGCAAAAGACGAAGTAGTGTAGCTAGTGCGAGCCTCGGGACCTAATTATCTTCCAAACGAAGCATTCTTTAGGAAAGTCTTCGCGGTAGTAAATAATGACGAAAATTACGATGTTATTTACTTAGACTTTAGCAAAGCATTTGACAGAGTACCGCATCAGAGGCTTCTGAGAAAAGTTAAGGCTCATGGTATCGAGGGGAAAGTTTTAAATTGGATAAAATTATGGCTCACCGATAGAACACAGAGGGTCAGCGTAGATGGTGTTAGATCTGAGTGGGGCTTTGTAACCAGTGGGGTTCCCCAGGAGTCAGTACTGGGCCCACTCTTGTTCATAATCTATATAAACGATCTAGATACTGGGATCAGCAGTGACATAAGCAAGTTTGCAGATGAAACCAAAATAGGGTGGCAGATTAATTCAGGGCAGGATGCAAATGCACTACAGGAGGATTTAAATAAACTGCAGGAGTGGTCAGAAATATGACAAATGAAATTCAACACCAGCAAGTGCAGGGCACTTAATATTGGAAGAACAAATACTGTCAATATATACAGCCTTAACAACATCAACCTAGAGAAGTCGACTTGTGAAAGAGACTTAGGGGTACTTGTAAGCCCGGACCTATGGTCTAGAAAACAGTGTGCTAATGTTCGAAATAAGGCAATCAGAGTATTAGGTTTTATATCTGGAAGTGTAAGTAATAAGAGTGCAGAGGTCTTATTCCAACTATATCTTGCGCTAGTCAGGCCGTACCTCGATTATGCGATTCAGTTCTGGTACCCTTATTATAGAATGGATATCAATTCATTATAGTCGGTGCAGCGAAGAATGACGAAAATGGTTCCGGGACTTAGAAACCTTCCATATCAAGATAGGCTAAAGAAACTAAACTTGCATTCCATAGAAAGACGAAGAGTGCGGGGAGATATGATAGAAATATTTAAGTGGGTGAAAGGAATCAATAAAGGAGTTATAGATAAAGTTCTTATAATATCCGAGCAGGATAGGACTCGGAGCAACGGATTTAAGTTGGAAAAGTTTAGGTTTAGGAGGGAGATAGGAAGGAACTGGTTCACAAATAGGGTGGTGGACGAGTGGAACAAACTTAGCAACTTTGTAGTAAGTACTGGAATGCTGGAAAGTTTTAAAAGGAGGCTTAGATAGATTCATGGATGATAGAGAGTGGTAGTAACTCGACAGGAGCTGCCATGCACAGGCTAACCGGCCTATTGCAGACTTCTTATTTTCTTACGTTCTAAATGATTATCATATCTGAATTCAATGATGAAAATGCGGCAAGCAAAGATCTATCAAAACACACTGCTGCGACGGGTATGACTTCAATATTAATCAAAATTTTATAACTATGGCTTTCTTGTAATACAGAGAAGAATTTTATGGTGGTACTTGGTATATTGTTAAAAAGTAACTTATACTTATGTAATATTAATTTCATACTATTTAGGCATTAATAGAAAAGTAGCTAATACTGTAACTGGGATGCAGAGTTGGCAGACTTATTATTTAAATTATAAGATCATACTTTATGCAACATTTAAATTTAGAAACTTATTAGCATCATTACTTAGTATCATAATTTTTTCTGTATTAAAAAGTTATTTAATTGATTTTTTTAAATTTTAGCACTTCCTTAATTACTTACAGTATTTATTTGTATCTTGTCAAGTAAAATTTATTTTTATCATATCCAATAATTAACTAATGTTGTTATTTATTCATATCTCTTTCATAAGGGAAAATATCCTGGTACTATTTACTTGTACAATATTGGGAGTGTTGATCTGAAAACTGTGTATTGTATATTGGGTGTGTATTTAATGTACTGTAGAGGTAATTTATAATATCCAAGCCTATCCCGAGAAATTTTATCAATCTCTGTTTAAGTCAGCATATTTATTAGAATGATATTATCCTGTAGTTGATAAGGGCCTTTATCACCTCTCCACACAAACATACACTATCTGAGGAAGGTAAAGTAATTGATATGAATGTGTTGTTTCATCCCAAGAAGAATGAACACATTTACAATGTTTAATTTAGTTTCTTTCTTGTTTGAAGACAATGGGAAAAATCTGTCAGGTAATTTTTTTTTAGTTTAGTGTCGTGTAGGGTTCATTACCTGAAGATATATTTGTGAATTTCTTAAGTTTTATTTTATGTAACAGTATTCTGTACTATAAATGGATTATTTAATTTTTAATTTTTTTTATTTTACCTTATTCATTTTGTCGGCCTAGAAAACATTACTGTTCGAAATAAGGCAAACGGAGTATTAGGTTTTATATCTATAAGTATAAGTAATAAGAGTGTGGAGGTCATATTGAAACTATATCTTGCGCTAGTCAGGCTGCACCTCGATTATGCTGTTCAATTCTGGTGCCCTTATTATAGAATGGTTATCAATTCACTGGAGTCGGTGCAGCGAAGAATGACGAAAATGATTCCGGGACTTAGAAACCTTCCATATCAGGATAGATTAAGAAACTAAAGTTGCATTCCCTAGAAAGACAAAGAGGGCAGGGAGATATGATAGAAGTATTTAAGTGGGTGAAAGGAATCAATAAAGGAGATATAGATAAAGTTCTTATAATATCCGAGCAGGATAGGACTCGGAGCAACGGATTTAAGTTGAATAAGTTTAGGTTTAGGAGGGAGATAGGAAGGAACTGGTTCACAAATAGGGTGGTAGATGAGTGGAACAAGCTTAGCAACTTTGTAGTAAGTGCTGGAATGCTGGAAAGTTTTAAAAGGAGGCTAGATAGCTTCATGGATGATAAAGTGGTAGTAACTCGACAGGAGCTGCCATGCACAGGCCAACCGATCTATTGCAGATTCCTTATTTTATTATGCTCTTTTGTGTTAATATGTTAATTAGATGCTGATGTCCATTGTGGGTGTTTTCTCTCCTCATATTAAACTTATGCTGTGCAGTTTGTAGTATATGTAAGTGTCATTAAAATCTGCTAATTGTTCTTTAATATACATCGTTAGTTTTTTAAATTGGTGTGTAGACCAATATACTGTATATTAGTTGTGGTTAATACAAATTTTTCAAAGATTTAGACAACAGTTATTGTACAATACTAATTTTTCGCTTACAGACCTAAATCATATACTGCTTGAATTCCTTATTCCCTCTTGATTTCAATATCTGTAGTTAGTTTACCTTACCTTCTGATTTCGTTTTATAGAAATATCTGACAAGAGTCATAAAATAAAGGTGCAACTAATTGTCAAGAATTACTTTATATGTTCAAGTGAAATAACCTGTATAATGAAAAAATTTTCCCTTTTTTTCAGGAGGAAATACCCTTTCTCATGATGGCTAGTTCAGCGATATATCAATCTCCATATCAATCTCCATCCGTGCGCAGCCCACCAAGGTGGAATTGGTTGGGCAATTCACATCAACTAGAAAGCAGTCTTCTTAAGCAGTTGCATCAGCAGAAGACTTCTAGCCTTCAGCAGAAATTACCAAGGGGAAAAAATCTCAGTCTCCAGTATTATAAATTATACGTGCAGCCAAAGAATCAATTGGGTATTTCACGCTCCCGTTCCAGTGAATTACAAAAACAAACGAATGACAATAATACATATTCATTATGTACCGATAAATCACCAAAAAATGAGAGACTTGGTGGGAACCTTCATAAAGATCCCAATAAAACTGAGGCTGTAAAAAGAGTTTTGAGTTCTGAGATTCACCCAGCAGTTGATAAAACATCTAGCCCCTTAACTTCTGGGCTGCCTTCTCATACAAACTTCGAAAAAAGGAGGAAGGAAGATTTACTGCAAACATCAATTAAAACAAATATGCCAACTCCCCATTTATCACTTCAATCAAGTCTAAAACCTTTACACTCAAAGGGGATGTCACATAAAAAACAGAAATTTCCAAGTGGACAGATGCCAAAGACTTTAATGTGTTATCTCTGTCAAAAAAATATTAAAGAAGACCGCTTTGTAAAGCACCTGTTTTTTGGTCCTGTGAAGTGTTTAAAATGTAATAAAGAGGTTCAAGACTGTCACAGCTTTAAATTGCTATGCACGAAAACCAGCATGGAGGAAACAACTTGTGACCATAAGTTACAATACTGTTCTAACCCATTTGATTACATCAGCCTAAGACTTTCAGGTGAATTTGGGTGCAATGGTTTTGGTTCCTTATATTCTTCAAATGTGCTGAAAGATCTGTCGGTGTATATTGATAAACTAGGTATTGTTGAAATGAAGGATCCATGGAGAACGGCAATTTTGCAATGTAAGAAACTTTTGCCAACCGCCGTTTCGAAATCTTCAGAAAATGCAAAACTTTCTCCTCATGCACATCCCAATAGTTTGGAACACCAAACAACAGACACTACACAAATGCCAAATCTTACACCACTGCTTGAAAATAACCAGAGAGGAGGCAAAAAACTTCTTGTTGCTCAAAATATTGAGTCTAGACAAGAAAGCTACTTGCAAGCAAATAAGCAGATTTGCAATTCAAGTAATATAAATGAAGATGAGGACATTGGGGACCTTCTTCTATCTCAGACTTATGGCCTTGAACAACTGGAACAAGCAATAGAGTATGTTCAGGTGCATGGACACGGTGCAGCAGAGAGTCATAAAGAGGCAGAACTCTTGTTAAAACCACTGAAAAAGAAAAGGGGTCCAAGAGGACCATATAAGAAGCGGAAGACACCAAAAGAAAAGTTGAAACCCATTGTTGCTGGACAAAATCACCAACGAAAGGAAAAATTGAAACCCTTGGTCATTGGAAAAGATACTGAACCCGAGGAGGATTTATCTACTGAATACATTGAAACTCCTGCCAATGGCTACTATTATGTAGTTCGTCATGCCATTGAGGAATGTCCAATGTGTTACAAAATCTTGTGTCCCTCGAGGTTCACTGTTAATGTTGAAACGTTTCTCATGACCACAATTTGTATTGGATGTGACCTGACAATATACATAGTCCCTGAGCTTCCAGACGGCTCTACGCCAGGTGTATCCATTGTAACCGAAGAAGAATTCAAGAATCCACCTCAGTCTTTGGCAGGAACTGAGGGAAAGAAACGAAAATATGCAAAGCCTGGAAGACCAAGAAAGTCTGTAAAACCTCAAAATATTTCACATTTTATTGCTTAAAAGTTGGTATCCATAATACTTTGTGTAATTTGATTACCGTGTATTGTTATATGGATGCATCATTATACAAACTTTAAATATGATACAAAAATATCATTCCTAAGTTATCAAGCACTGTGGATAACCTTTTACCTGCGAGGTGTGCATTTAAGCCAAATGTAATAAAATTTTTCTACTGTACATACAATAAAAATTTTGTATTAGGTTTGTAAAGCTAATTTTTTATCCATACTTAATTACCAATGCCTTTATTTTGACCAGGGTGAGGATTGCGTTTTTTACTAAGAAAGTTCGTAATCATGATAGTTGCACAGGAACCTTGTAAGTACTACAGAGGGTTGCTGAAAGCATTAGTTTTCTTTTATAAAATAAATGCAGCTTTCATATTTCTTAAGAAATACAACAATTCTGCTTAAATGCTCATAAACCTGATTCTTATTTTTTTCTTTTCATCATAAAAGCAACGTAAACATAAATACATGTAATCATTCTGTTTTTTTGTATTGTGGGACATTTTTATCTATAAATATAATGGCAGACATAAATTTAGATCCCATATAAACTTCCATGATAATTATTACACTTTTGACTTACCATTTACTAAATATTGGGAACTTCTTTAAGAACGGTAATTACAAATTGATTTCAGGCTGCATTTAATATATTGAAAATCAATTATTTAATTGCTGCTAAGTAAACAAAATCAATATAATATATCATTGGACCCATAACAACGATTATCTTTTATTGGGTAAAGTTTACTGGCAGTCATAGGACTCAGGCTTACAATGGTTCACATGTGTGATCAGTTGTTTCCATGGATCCTGTGGTTCACATAAACTTTAATTTTTCATTATATGCAAAAGCCATTCTTTATTGTTTTTGTCAGTTTAAACTACATTTAATGCCATTCTTTAATATCTGATGTATTAATGGTGTCAGCTTATTCTCAAACACTAAAAGCAAATAGGGACCTTAATCCCAATGTCTTCGGTAATACTGCATTACTAATAACACTAATACTCTCCCATAAGACAGACCCTGAGACCATCATTGGATGTTCCATTCAAGCTGTGGAACTAAGAACCTTACCCCTCAACATTGTTTTGCTCCAATAGTATCAGAGACAGGGTTCCAAGCTCATTGAAACCACCGGGAACACTAGAACATTGAGCTTCTTGTTCCAGCGCCTCGCCAAAGCAATACACAGGAATGCTTGCTGCATACTAGGATCTCGTCCCTTACCAGAGGAATTTGGGAATGTTTAAATTGGGACAAACAAGGAGGTAGTAGCAGAGTATCTACCCAGAGTTCAGGGAAAATAATCCTTTTTTATTCGTGAATGATCCTTATTTTCATCTCTGAAATGAAGGGTCTCCAAAACTTACTCAACCCCAGGTGGTATTATAACCAACAACCAACATCACTCATGGCAGCTGAAGTGGCTTTGGACCCCTATTAGCGTATGGGCCCGAGGGCTGCTAGACATTTATCAGTGGATTAATTGGTTTGTTTTGTTATATCAGCTCTAGTGGGTTATTGACACTTGAGTCAAGACGTCTGTACATAATATAGAATACTAGCCAACCTTGACTTCAATTTCCAAGAAGAAATGTCATCCTCAAAGATTTTCCTTTTGTTAAGAAATAAATGGAAATCTGAAAGAGTTAGATCTGAGCTTTGGAACTAAGGTAAGGAATTGGGTCAGTTGTTAGAAACTTGTGTGAAGCTGCATATTGTCATGTTGGAGGAGAATCACCTGAATGTCACAATGAACTTCAAATCCATATACTTATTCTTGCCATGAGTTTCAATGCAATGCATAACGGTAACTCCCAGACACTGGGCTACGGTCGGCATACGCTTCCACTCCCACTCAGGTATATTTGAGAAAAAAAAAATCTAAGCCTGCATACTGGTTATGCATGATGCAAAAAGTAAAGAATTACCACACATGTTATTACTACTGGTTGCATTATAGGAACTAGGAAGAATCGAGAATGCATGTGAAGTGGTGTGTGTGTGAGGTATTCAGATAAGATCAGGGTTGGCAGTATGACCCCCTACTACACTTGTGTTGGGAGATAGACAAATGTGGTTGGGCATGTGAAGTCCACAAAAGTTTAGGAAACTACTAAGAACAGAGACTGGGAGGCTTACATATGTGAGTGAGTGAAAAGTAAATGTTATTTGGCAACATAATCTAGCCAGGCTTGCATTGTGATTCAAACAGTACCGATAAATTACAAGTAGTGCAGTGCCAGAATGGGATAAGTGCCACGACCAGCCAAACTTTTATTTGTGTGTGACATGCTTAGTTTATTTCTCCCCTATTAGGTACAAGTGGTGGATATCTCTCTAGGACACTAGAAACCTGGAGCCGGATTCATTGACGACTTATGGTCACCACATGTCGCTACGAACAACCTGACGGATGAATAGGTGAGTCACTAACAATTACGGTGACCGTAACCCAACTTATGGTACAGCAAAAGTTATGGTGGTCACCGCGTACCAGTAAGCTTCCATAAGGCGGAAATAACTCCCTCTTTCTCTGCTATACATCCCATACCAAGAAACACCGTAGAGCTGCCAGGTGTACAGTACTCACTAGCGAGAGTAAAGCTGTGAAGATGTAACTAATGATTGCCTTAGCTCATGACCGTACACTCTGGAGAGACAGGGTGTTTAGGGATCCTTTGGACCTTCTACAAATTGATGACCACCTACTGCTACGTAGGGATATACTATGGCTAGATACATCTGTGTTAACAGCTTTGAGGTTTTTTGCACGTAGTAGCTCCAGAGTGTAGTTGTTGATATCGCTAGATTAAGACAGTGCCTCAGTGAAAATATAATCGCAAAAGTTGTCCTCACAATTAAACAACAAACCGGATGAAGCGACCACTGTACTCAAGTATGATTGCGTCTGCCCCAACATAAGGTTCACAACATACACGCTGATGGTCGGACTGTAACTCCCGCCCTTTCCCAAGTGTGGCAAAGTTCTTTCACCTAGAGTGCCAAAAGGAGTTTTGGAGTACATTTGGAATTCACTCATTTTTAATATGCACTAACCCTAGGTACTAATGTGCTCTAAAGGTGGGTCACAAGCATTAGACTATGTGAGGGGCCGGCTATGGTGGTGTTGCGCCCCAATTGTTGCAACTAATCCCATGTCAAACTATACTTAGCACTTGTCAGCTGTCAACCACCCCTGTGTGTGCAGCTCCAAGCTGCTCAGGGCCCAGAACTGTACTTCATTAGGCTCTTTTCCCCAATAGGACAAAGGGGTGTTGTAGGGAGACAGCGTGAGTGGGTTCTACTGGCTGCCATATGGGGCTGACAGTACAGCAGTCTTTTAACAATGGAGTTGATTGGTTGAAAATATTACTTGATGTGATTTCGCTTAGTAATAATGCTAAATAAACCTTGGACTAGTAACTCAATATAAATAATATATTGTTATGCCTTCACTCTACTTTATCAAGAATTTGCCATTAGTCAAATAAGAGGTGAAACCATAAAGAAACAAACCCCTGCCACTAGTGGTCATAACAAGCAGGGTAAACACTATAATGAATATATTTTCTCCACCAGGTTCTCAATAAGCCTCAGATTAACTCACATTGAGGAGGAATCATACACTGCATAATTTTTTAATATAATAAAACAAAATACAAACAACCACAACCTAAACTAATCTAAACCGTAACCTGAGCCTTACTATACAATTGAACAGTACAAAAGCATAAACCACTTATCTCCGTATACATATATCCTGAGACCAGACCAACTGTACCACACTTGGACCACACCCTCTCACCAGTCAGGCTCATCTGCTTCCCCACCGTTACCAACTGAGCTGGTGGACCCATGACCCACAGTGCTGTTACCATGTCACCAATTATCAAACTATATATATATATATATATATATATATATATATATATATATATATATATATATATATATATATATATATATATATATATATATATATATATATATATATATATGTGTGTGTGTGTGTGTGTATTAAACAACAATTGAGGGCCTTAGTTCCGCAAGGCCAAAAGTGCCATTTTTTAAAATGTGAGAAAAAAGCCCTAAGAGTTTTTCGTCTGTTACTTTACATTGAATAAAGATACGACGTGGCGTTTGTTTTATTTCAAAGATATTTGTTGTTTAAGTTTTGTGTAAGACAGTGCCATGCATCTCGGCCCATGTGCGCTCATGTGCACGCCCGTCCAGGGTACATGCATAGTGTTTAATCCTTTGTTACTCCACAACCAATAAAGATATCAAGGTGGGGTTTGTTTTACTTCGAAGATTTTTGTTGTACAAATTCTGTGTATGAGTCATGCATTGGTGCTCATCTGCCCCAGATGCGCACCCATTGGCTGTAGCAGGTCTACTCGCTGTGTCATTGGCTCAGCAGGGAGGTGTGTTGGGTGATGCGCGCTAGTCATTGGTTGCTATGTGAGTTAAAATGATACAGTGTGGTGGGGTGCGACTTGCGGCCTTGTGTGACGAATACGCGTTGAACATGGTCCAATTAGGTACACAAACCAGTGTTTTTTTTTAGAGTAATACAAGGCCGCAAATGCAAGCTCCACAAGACAGAACTCAACTTAGAGAATACTTTGGTACCAACAACTCTATTTCCCTGTGGTGGTGCTTGCGGCCTTGTGCTTCTGAAGCCCTCCATTGTACAAAGGAACAAAGTAATATAAAATATAACCTTACCGACTTAACAGGTAAGGAAAATTACCTCTAAATTCAATATATATATATATATATATATATATATATATCAGTGCCAAATAACACACAAAGATGCTGTGATAAGTGATGCAATATTGGAAGAGCAAATACTGTAAACGTATACAGCTTTAACAACATCGAACTAGAGAAATCGACTTGTGAAAGAGACTTAGGGGTAATCGTAAGCCTGGACCTTCGGCCTAAAAAACAGTGCTTAAATATTCGAAATAAAGCAAATAGAGTATTAGGTTTTATGCCTAGAAGAGTAAGTAATAAGAGTGCAGAGGTCATATTGCAATTGTACCTTGCGTTAGTCAGGCTGCACCTCGATTATGCTGTTCAATTGTGGTACCCTTATAGACAGGAAACAGCGAGTGAGCATTAACGGCACTAAATCCCATTGGAGCAATGTCACTAGTGGAGTTCCGCAAGGCTCAGTA